TCTCTCTCTCTCTCTCTCTCTCTCCCATAAGCAAAGGCCTTATATAATGTAGCACAGTCATGGGTACAACATGCCATCACCTTTGTCATATTCTATTGAGAAGAAGAAAGTCACAGGTTCCACCCACACCCAAGGTCATACAAGGACATAGTTTGTCAGGGTCACCTTATGACGTGTCTGGCACAAGATGATAGAAGCCAAATTGTAGGCAGTAGCATAATGAACAGCAAGTAAGGAAGGATAATGAATACAGAAAATTTCCAAGATTTGGCTATTCCAGAGGTAGAGAAAAAGTTGATAATTAGAGAGGTAAAGAAGCAAAAAAAAGAAGTATATTTTAGTTCAAGATAAAAATACTCATGATTAGATGTTTATTGAATAAAACCTATAAAGAAGCCTAAAACCAACAGAAGAAAAAAATGAAATAATCATGACTAATGTTTATTAAATGTTTACCAGGTGCCAGCTATTAAAGCTTGAGTAGTTACTTGACTTTGCTCATCTAATCTTCACAAAAACTTTAAGAAAAGGGAAAATTAGGGAACTCAAGGACTTGCCCAGTGGCTCACTAATGGCACATTGCAGAGCTGGACCTGGACCTGAACCGGGACCATGGTCAGAGCCCATACTCTCAGCCAAGGACTTAGGTGAATGAGACGAAGTTTCAAATAATATCATGTTGCAGAAATAAAATGATACCATGTGAGCATTTGGCCCTCAGTCTGTCTAATGCACATGAAGAGCTTAATAGATGACAAGTACTCATCATTTATGCCCCATACTAATTTGCATATCAAAAAAGTCCAGAAGGGACCAACAGATCCTAAATATGGATATGAAATCTACCTGACACTAAATAGATCCTTTCATGTCTCCTAAAAGATAATCCAAGTCTTCTATCCTGTGAAAAACTATAACATTTATGGGATAAGGTTTTACAACAATAGTAACAAGCATCTTAATGAATCCCACTTCACTCAAACCACTACTCAGAATTTTCTAATGCAAAGCAATGTGTATGTACAACAAGCAATTCAAAGTTTCAGCAGTTAGAACTTCTGACTCAATGTGATTGACTGGATATTTCTAAAGAAATTTCCTACACAAACACACACACACACCTCACACACTCACACCTCAAAAACTGAGGCTGGAGGGGTCACATTGAGAGCAGATGTATACAGCAGCATCACCAACTGGATACCATGAGGTGGGCCAACAACAAGGAGGAGGATTTGAGTCTGACACTCACAGGCAATTACTGAGTTGGAGTGCTCAGGGGAGACAGAGTAATCCCTGAGAGTGGTGTTCCCTCTCATCTGAAAGAGCTGACAACTCTACACAGAGGAGAGTGCTCTCAAAATTGATCTCTGGATGCCTCTAGATTAAGATCAAGCAAAAAAATAAAAATAAAAAGATCATAAATAAAGATCTCAAGCACAGGAAGAAGGAAATTACTATGTGTAAGATTTGGCAAGCCTAACAACCACAGACTTTGACATCTCAGCAATTAGAATTTGCCAATATAGAATATATAATATTTTAAAAATAGTGTTGAAATCATGATGATGAAGCAAAAGAAGACTATTAGGAATGAGTAGGAAAATTGGAAAACAAGAGTTGGAACTTCAAGTAAAAAGGATTCTTGACATAAAACAAGAAGACCCAGCTAAAGAATTTATGAACTTGAAGAAAATCCAGTAAGACCAATCCTACTCATGAATATCACCACAGAGATCCTCATAACCAAACCAAATTCAGCAGTGTATAAAAAAGATTGTGTTAGACAAAGCATGCATTATCAAGCTCACTTATTATGGGTATTCATGCTTGGTCTAACATTGAATAATCTGTGAAGTATAATATATACCAATATATTAAGGACAGGACAAAAACAATCATTTCAACATTTGAAGGCAAACAATTTGATATAATTCAAAATAAGAATAAAAAGAAAATTATTTAACCTTAATTTAGGTTAAGTCATCTACAAAAATCAATCACAAACTTAATTCTCCATTAATTCTACTTAAATTGTGAAATATTTAAATGTTCTCTGCCACTATTTTTAGTCACAATTGTTCCATCAGTAAAAATGGGTGATATAAAGGAAGAGAAGACATATGACAAAGAAAGGAATAAATCTTTATAGTTGACACAAATTTCCATTTTTATACACCAAAGAATAGACCTTAACATTTTGAGAAATAGTAAGAGAGTATAGCAGGGTGGATGGCTAGTAGTCAAAAATTAGTTTCTCTTCTATAAACTATTAGCAAACAGAAATTTGTTTTAAAGATACAAATTACAATAATGACAAAAGTTATGAAAATACCAAGCTAAGAAGATGAGCTGTATAAAATCTATTTAAAATTAAAGTCCAATAAATAGGGACATATACTGTCATGGTCATAAACTGGAGAATCCAATATCAAATAGGCACTGATTGTCCCTAAAATACCTAAAGATTCAATATACTTTTTTCAATAAAAATTCCACCAGTTTTTCATGGATCCTGATAACCTGCACTTAAGCTATGTATGGCAGAGTAAAGGCACAAGAATAACCAGTACTTTTCTGGAGAAGAACCAGACATTAAGAATTACAATGAAGTTGTAATAATTGAAACATTATACTTTAGGGCCAGCGATAGAAAAATTGACCAAAAGAACAGAATCTCAGCTACTCCAAAGGCTGAGGCAAGAGGATCATGAGTTTGAAACCAGCCTGGAGAAACTTGTCCCAAACAATGAAATATCATCTCATATCGGTACAAACGTCTATTATCCAAAAGACTAAAGATGAAAGAACTGGCAAGGATGTGGACAAAATGGAACCCTTGTGTACTGTTAGTGGAAATATCAACTAGTATAGCTATTATGAAAAGCAGTATAGAAGTTCCACAAAGAAATTAACAATAGAACTACCATATGGATCAGCAATCCTACTACTAAGCATGCATCCAAAAGAAATGAAATCAATATGTTAAAGAGACATATACACTCTCATATTTAGTGCAGCACAACTCACAAGAGCTGAGGAATGGAAACCATCTAAGTGTTCATCAGCAAGTAGGCATATAAAGAAAATGTGATATATTTACACAATGAAACACTATTCAACGAGAAGAAAGACGAAATGCTGTACAGCAACATAGATGGAACAGGAGATCATTAAGTAAAAAATCCAGTCACATAAAAAGAAGTAGCACATGATCTCACACATATATGGAATCTAAAATAATTGATATCATACAAATTGAGAGTAGAAGGGTAGTTCTCAAAAGCAAAAGCACAGAAGGGTGACATAAATAACAATAATATCTGTATATTTTAAAAGGCTAAAAGAAAGGCTTTTGCAACTTTTCACCATGAAGAAATGACAAATGTTTGAGGAGATAAATGTTTAATCTAATTTAAACATTATGCAATGTATACATGTATCAAAACATTACATGGTATCCCCAATATGTACAGTTTTATGCTTTTATGTATCAGCTAAAAATAATTTTTTAACTTTTAAAAATCACCTTTGATAAAGCCTTAAACAAAAAGCAAAACAAAAAAGTACAGGATACTATTTTATTGATGTTAGCAAAGAGAAGAACTTAAAGATGTCTTTTCAAAAAGCTTTGACAATGAAACTATAAATAGGTATAGTCAACTACATTAAAATTAAGAATCTCTGTTCATCAAAAGACACAGAAAGACAATTAAAAAACAAGCCACAAATTATGTAAAGACATATGGATCACAATCAAGGAATAGTATATAGAATTTATTTTTTAATGTCTACAATCACTGATGTAAACAAAAAAAATGTGTGTAGTGTATAGGAAATTGATAGTACAGGAAATATAAGTAGCTGATAAACATAAACAGACGTTCAATCTGATACCAAAACTGAGAAATGTGAGTGAAGAACACATTGAGACATCGGCTTTTAACCATCAACTTGACAAAAATAAAGTCTGGCACACCATTTACAGTACAGAAAACAGAGAAACAGGCACATTCACACACTGCAGGTGGGAGAATAAATTGGTACAACTCTACTGAACAAGGTGTCATGTTCTTGAAAGTTAAACATTCACACTCTCTACATGCTAGCAATTCTACTGCTAGGAATATTTCCTGAAAATCCACTCCATATACTAACAAAAGACATAAAAATGAATATTTAGATAAACTATATTCTGAACAGCAAAAAAAGGAAATAAAACAATTGTTAGCTAAAGCAGAATGAAAGAGTAAATAGTATAATAAATTCTGGTATAAATAAATAATAGTACATAAATAAATAGCATAATTTGGTTTTGTAACAAAACATCTAAATGCCATACTAAGTAATATATATAGATATATATTTCATAAGTAGGTTTGACAAAGGTAATTCAGAAATTTTTTCACCTTGATTTTCTTAGCCTTCATTTGGGCTTTTGCTAATAATGTAAACATGGTCATCTCCGACCTATTCCACGACATCCCATCCAAAACTTGAATGGCCTTGTCATGGTTTTCACAAAATGAATAAATGTGTGCTTGTTGTATTGGACTCAACCCAATGAGACCTAAAAGGAAAATAAAGTTAACAATATCTCTGCCAAATATCAAGGGTTTGAAAATAATTATTTAATGGGCTGGGGATTTAGCTCAGTGGTTCTGCCCCCTGCTTCGCAAGCACAGGGTCCTGAGTTCGATCCCCAGTAAAAAAAAAATCCTAAAAATAATTATTTAGGGAAGCAAAGCAATTCAATGAATTAATAAATCAATATTATGCTAAAATCTATTTACTACCAGAAAACATTTAAGATATTACAATTACAAATCAAAGCAGTGAAGTGGGAAGCCTAGTATATCCTATAATAACTTCTCTCACAAAATTCACTATATTATGAATCATAAGTTTCAAAATCTTTGTCATTCAAAAGAAGCCTTTATGTTATTCATACATAGCTGTCACAAGTAGTATAAAAACTTTATGGAGATATTACTTAAGTCAAAACTATACTTTTGCAATAACTATATTTATCTTTGTTCATTTCTGCTACTTGATAAATAGTGAACTTTGCAAGATCATAACATTTCATCGTAAGAAGATATTGTCCTCTGGAAGAAATAATAGTTGTTTGATTCTAAGCAGATAAAATAATTTTTCCGAGACAAGTTTCTCACAATAAGTTCCTTAAAATCATTATTATAATACATGCGCCCATTTTGTATATATGCATAAAAATCAGTGTGAAAATTACTGCCATTCTTATAGCAATGTGAAAATTAACATGGAGATGTGATGAAATAATTTAGGATATGTGATGTTAAAAAGAAAATAGTTAAATCTTTCCTTGTAACCATCTGTATTTAAAATGTTCCACTTTATTGCTGAGAAATTATTTTAAAATAAAGGAACATAAAAAAGAGAAAGTATTTACATAAGTTGCCAAAATGAGGTTCAAACACAAAGCAAGCCTTTATTATAAACCAGTTCCATTTCGTTTTCCAAGGTCTATCAATCCTTAGAGTATGATTTTGGTAGTGATTATTTGCAAAAAGTTCATTTATAAAGCAACTTCTACTATGTTTGAAATGCAATTCTAGGACAGGGGATTTAGCCCAGTGGTTCTGCTGCCTGCCTCACAAGTGCAAGGTCCCAAGTTCGATCCCCAGTACCAAACAAAAAAAATGAAATACAATGCTATGAATCTTTTTCCTTCACTCAGCTGAGGGTTATGCTTTTGTGCCTTTGTGGACACAATCAAAACAACTGTTCAAAATGTATTACCTTACTCTCATTAGATATGTGATAAAGACTTAAATAGTAAGCAGTTGTGTTTTGATGCAAGATAGAATACAGGAAAAGAAGACCTGGTTATTTTATGTAATAAGGTACCTTAAAGCTTAAATAAACTGAGACCTACACTGGGCTTACTGGTTGGGGGAGACTAGCTGCTGGAGATTCAATGTGCAATGAAGAGGCTGGAAGAATCAAGAGAGAACTAAATGTCCCAACAGCTCACACAGATGCTACGTTGTCCTGAACAGAATTCAACGTCTGTGCTCATACCTTATTATGTATAGTTGAATTCCATCTGGCTGAAGATGGATAGCACGAGACAACTCGTTCACTGCATTTTTCCACTTATGCAACTGTTGAATGATAAACAGAAGCTTAGGTTCTAATGAAAATTGTTTCCTTTTTGATGTTTATCCCTTCAAAACCTCTACTTCAGAAATTTTTCATGACTTTCTTAAGAATCATCAACACAAAAAGGATATATAGGAGTAAAATAAAGATTTATGAGCTAGAGTATTTTGGTTTTTAAAAAATTATTGGAAACAAAGTCTTTGTAAATAGGGAGGGACAGAGGGGTTGAAGGCAGGGCAGGGGAAGGGGGAAAAAGTAAGAACCAAGAGAGATTATGTAAAAGTGCAAATTTCCAGTGATGAATGTAACTGTATTGTATACCTAAAATGTACCAATAAAATTAATAAGAAATAAAACATATTTATCTTTATGTTTGAAAAATGATTACACATATCTGCACATATATAATCTAATGTAATTATGTCACACATTCTAGATTGTATGTGTTTTCATTTAACTTTTTAAATTTTTCTCCCTAACTGCAACATCTATTTCACAAAACCTCATCTATAATAATAAACTATCATGCAAAAAAATTAAAATAAAAAGTTAAAGCCAATTCTACTTAAAAATAAGCAAGGAAAAGCAAACTTGCTCCAAATTAAGTAAATGAATGAATAAAATAAAACCAAAATAACAGTATAAAAAGAGATCTACTGAACAATATGTAATGAAAAATAAGCATTAATTCCTTCCTTAATGCTGGTCACAGAAACATAGTCTGAATTTGTACACATTGAGGAACAAAATTAACTACCATTGCAGATATTACCAAAGGAGCACTACACAGACTTCCCCCCAAAAAACCTGGAAAAACCAGCCACTTCTCTAACTATAATGACATGTGAGGCAGAAAAGAGAATGCCCAAAATTAATTTGTGCATGGGAGTAAGCCATACCTGCAGAAATGGCCCAAACCATTTGCAGGAAATAGTAAAACAGAGGAAAAGTTTGAGAGTTGTTTATACAAATTTAAGAATTTCTCAAGCTGTTGCTTCTTAAGCTACCCTAGCTTAGGCTGGTGCAGTTAATAAACTCATGTAGTCATATGTTGCACTGCTGCACCTGTGCTACCCACCAGCCACTTCTCTGCCTTGTGGAAACCCTGGTCTGGGACAGATGGAGGCTCATTCTGCACAGACAGCTTCCCAGGACTCAGCTTCTCCAGGAAGCCTTAGAGTAGATTCACTGTGGAGGTTGAACCCACACAGTAGGGAAATGTATTTTTCTATATACATACACAAGGCTTGATTTTAATTGATTTATTTTCATGATAGTATATTATACACACACTCTTTTCTTACCCAAAAATATCTCATGGGACTCTCCCAAGTCAGCTGAAAGAGTTCTATTTATTCTTTTTAATTGAGTGTTATATTCCATAGTGTGAATACACCACAATGTATTCAACCAACATTGTACAGATATTTTTTGCCTCTGAACAAAAAAGAGTTTCTGAATATATATCCTTACACTATGCTATCATGCTGGTACTTTCCTGATAGGTTTCTGCGTGTGTTCAGAGGGAACACTGACTTCCTCAGAGGGGCTGAGCTTCATCAACAGGATTAAGCTAAGCAAGAGAGCCATGCACTGTAAGTACCCACATCTTCCCCAGCAAGGATGAAGAATCAACCTTCTCTGAAGACAATACTAAACCTGCCCTGGGTCTTCTACCTCCATCATCTGGAAGGTAAAGACTTTGAATGGGACTCCAGTCCCACTGGATCTTGTGATGTAGACAATGGAGAGAAGAAAATGCAGGCAATTCTCAACAGACATGTAGTGTGAGCACAAAATGTGTCTGGATGTTCTAATAGGGTGATTCTGAAGTTGATTTTTTACCGCAGCATAACCTATGCTATATTGACTGAAGCCAGTATATCCAGACAATTTTTTAAAACAAAGGGCAAAAAGAAAATGAATAGTCATCTTCTGTGGGATCTTGTAGGCCTTTAGATTTTGTAGACTTTGCCTTTTAATCTAAGGGCAAAAGGAAGCTATTGAAGGTTTGTGAGCAAAGCAAAATACTATGACATGTTCTCCTTGGACTTCTGTTGGCTGCTGTGTGGTAGTTCCATCAAAATAGTAAAAAGCAGAAGCAAGAAGGCTGGGAGGCTATTGTCATAAAGTTGATGAGAAATTACAGTGTCTTGGTAGGAAGTGGTATCTGCTTGAGGGATGGTGAAGAGAGTTTACAGTGGTTACCTCTGAAAGGTAAGATCTCCTTGGAGTTGGAGCAGACTTTTACTATTTACTGAATTGCTTGAATTTATTACATTAAGAATACAGTACATCTTTTATACATTTAAATAATATGTAAAAAAATAAATGAAATCTAAAGAAAATAATAGTTAAAATACCATTCTATATACATATCCATGTTATGAACCTATAAACTCAACAGTACACACACACACACACACATACACACAAATTATATGGATAAATTCCAAAATGTTAAGAGTAGTGATCTGTAGAGAATGAAATTATGGGCAGATTTAAAAGTTATTAATTTTCATAAACATATTTATTATTCATTATCTGTATAAATACATAATTATAATAAACATATATTGTTTCAGTAATAAGGAAAAAGCAAGTACTATATTATTTTTTAAAAGAAAGTTATAAAATATTTTCTCACAAATAGAGGCTTTGTAAGTAGAGTTAACTATATCTGCTTAACACTTACTGGTTACAAATTCATTAGCCTCTATAGTTAGCTAAAAAGTACATTTATATATTAAAAGTTGAGCAAATATCCAGAAAATTAAGACGTTTTTAAAATTCAATATTCTCAAACCTTAAATACCTTATAATAGGTTTCTGCTCTATACATATAGCTCTGAATATATGAAGGATCAATTCTAATAGCCTCAGAAAAGTGCCAAATGGCTTCAGTGTAGTTATCCAAGTGTAATATATGTATGAGGCCAATATTTACATAAGCCAAAGTAGAAGTTCTACAAAAACATAAAGAAAAATCTTGTTAGACATTTTTAATTATTTCAAATGTTTTTCAATTATGAATGAACCCAATAAAATATATGCATCAATACATCACAGTATTTTAAATGTCTTACTGATGTCAGCAGAAATTGGTTAACTACCCTTTGTCAGAAATTAGAAACATCCAGCTGAGCATAGTAGTGCATGCCCGTACTCCCAGGGCTGTGGGAGGCTGAGGCAGGAAGATCTTGAGTTCAAGCCTGGCTTGGGCAATTTAGCAACTTAGCAAGACTTTGTCTCAAAATAAAAAATAAAAAGGGCTGTTGATGTTACTCAGTGCAAAGATCTTAGATTCATTCAATCACCAGTACCACATACACAAAGAAAAGAATTATATACCTTAATAAAATCCTTGGTAAGGAATTAATAATTGTAGAGTCTGTGCTAGGAATGGATTTTGTGAAGTCTCTTACATTCCTGGTAATACTTTACCCTTCCTTCACTTAATCTTGAGTTATCTTGAATTACAAGCTTAGTTTTCCACAACTCAGAGAAGTCTTTGCTTCAGGCCATGATTAACAGTGTAGAATTCTATGGTTTATTGTCTTGGTGTTAAAAATTCTCTCCACATTGATATTTACGCAGCTACTTTTCTATATCAAATAAATGTTGTTTTTCTCTCTTAGAATCAAATAATTTTCAATGTAAAAATAACCTTAGACATTACCTTGTTCAATACTTTCTATTTCAAAATGAGGAAACTACACAACCAATCACCTGATCTCATGGAAACCCTGACCCTTTTCCTGGACATCAAATTTCCTACCATACAAAAGGTTCCAGTGATTCTTTGCACCTGAAACTCTTCTTTTTCTCCCTGCCTTAAAAAATGGCCAAAAGAAAACCATCCTAGTCATTATGAAACGATGTTTCATGACTTGCCTGAGTCAAGTTCAAAGTTTACCTTAGATTGCTAAGTAAACAGTCTGCCGGTTGACATGGAATTAGCATGATTTGTTACTCCTTCTGACAACTTTTATTTTAATGAATGCCTCATTGGAAAGAAGAGGAGTTATTCTGATTAAATTCCACATTTTTCAGCTGGCTTTCTGACAATTGTGTTTAACTTTCAATCTGCATTTTCTTCGTGAACCTATGTTTAAATAGCATTGACTTTTTTCTTCTTCTTTACTAAACAAAATGAAGTTAGAAGTTAAAACAGAGGGTTTTCTTCCTTTGAGTTGCATTTTGTGCACGGCAATGATATATCAAGCAGAAGGTTTTATCATTATTTTAAAACCTGATGAGGGTTTTCTAGTAATTTAACTTCTAAAAGCTCTAGTCTGGGTATCCTCAAACCCCTCTTTTATTACCCATAGACTTAACTCCTCAACCCCATTCAACCTCTAAAATTTACAAAAGCACCTGAAACAAACAACTTATGTTAGTCATAACCTTATTTTTAGCGGCATTATAATTCTAGGACAAATCTGCAATTGTCTCATTTTAAAATAAACTGATGATAAGGGGGTAAGGCTTTTTCTTTCATTGTTTTTTAGTTTTTCTTACTTTTAAAAAAAAGTGAAATCAATATGTAAAGGAAAACATACCTTTCTAGGGAAATAACAGTTTCAAAGTCACAAATTGCCAGCAGCCAAAGTTTTAGATGTGCATATACTATGCCCTGATGTAGAAAACAGCTAAGATTCTCATAGCCATCATTTATGAGAGCTTAAAAATAAAAGTGTATATCTTATTTGCGTTCTGAACAACCATACTTGAACCACATTTTAGTCTAAAGCCTTCCTATTCCTTATGCATATTTTAACATGACTACATAAAGTATCATATAACATATCTATGAAGGTTATATTTATTTGATGAGTAAAAAATAGTATTCTATGTAAAAACATATTTGTTAATTAATAACACATGTGGCTATAATGTTCCACAAACTCCTTAAACCTGGAAGAAATCCTGCTTTACAGTCAACTCCCATTATAGGAGGAGATTAAGGTCCAAAGGGGTGAGATGCCTTTGCCACAGATGAGCTTAGAATCTAAGTCCAGTCAGAAGGTGTTGTTACCCTTGAGGGTCCGTTATATCATAAAGTCATCATTTCTGGCCAATTAACAGGCTCAGGCACTAACTCAGACCAAGCCATATAACATAATTCAGGCTTACTCATAATCTAGGATGGGCAGCTGCCAAGCAGCTACCCCAAAGGCAAGCAGAACTTAGAATCAAGACAGGTGACTTGACTGTGAACGTTCTCAACAAGCACTTGCGAGGGGCAAGAACCACCTCCCAGTGCTTCACATGTGTGATTCTCATCAGTAACTAACCTAGAGATCATCTAAGTCTCTAGTTTATTCATCCCGCCTTCACTTGCAAAAACATACTAGTGAATTAGATGGGTTGTAAACAAGATTTAAAGCAAATCATCAGCTTCTCAAGTCCACTCTGGTTTATGAGGGAAAGTTTTGCCAAAAATATTCACAATCTGGGACAAAAATAGTCTTGGTATTGGATTTGGGGAAGTACAACCAGTGTCAGCAACAATCACACAGAGAAAATAAACACTTAAGGACAATCTGATTACTCAGTTCACAGTATGATCATCCAGTAAGGAAAAAGTCAGTTGCAATATTGATGGTTGCTCTAAAAATGTGGAAAAAAATTCTTAAATAAAAAATTAGAATTATGTAATAACCTCTTTATGTTATGGTTTCTCATGATTAAATTTGGATTATAAAAATATCTCATCATTATTTTACTATTAATTGGCATATTCTACATACAGCACTTAGAACAGTGTTTAAGAAATAGTAAAATGCCCAATAAATATTAAGCAGTATTATTATTATCTTAGAAAATATCTTGAGTGTCTTTTTTATTATGATGATGACAAAACTCCTCAAGTTAGCCTATTAGAGAGTACTGAGGCCAAAATCAAACTAGTTTGCTATGAGAACTTAAATAATAGAGATTTTTGTGTGTGGTGGAAGTAGGAGAACTAAAGAGCTCAAAACTTGGAGAAGAGAAAGTATGAGAAACTAGCCTTCAGAAAAAGACCAGGGAGATAGGAGTTAAGCTGCATCAGAGATGGACAGGCCAAATGGAGCCAGATAAATATGGATCTGCAAGTTTAAGTTATGCACTAAATTTATCCTCTGAACCCTAAGACATTCAGTAAGAGTATTACATACAACCTGTTTGTGTGGGGGTTACATTGGGGAATGAAGGAAGGAATTTGGAAAAAGCAAAGAAGAGAAAACAGTATCCATAAGAAGTCAGTGCATGAGAAAAGACAGGGAATCAGCCTTGAGCAGAAACTGGAAAGAACTATACAAGAGAAGTGCCTGGGAAATTTCAGACCACTTTCTCAAGAACCCTTAGAAACAGAAGGAAGCCACTAGATTCCTCTTGGCACATAGGAGGTCATTTGAGTTATTTTATTTGGATATTAATGAGAAGAGTGACCTCATAAAGCAAATGGACTTAAAGATATTGAAGAAACTATCATCACAGATCTCTTTCACTGTGAGAGTCTAGTTGTCCTCTAATCTCTACATACTGCCTCATCTATGATGATAGACATTGTGTCCATGTTAACACAGCCATCTTTGGTGTGCTGGACTCTGGCTGGATTCTATCATCAAAGTGGCTCATTTATTTGGTTTACTTGTTTACTGAACACTTACTTGAAGTACAGAACTGTTCGAGACACATATGTAAATGAGGAATACATTAAGGTAGAAATAGCCATTTTTATCTGATGACATCCCCAAGCTTCTGAGAATTCTCAAAGTCTCTTTTTAATGTAAGGGTCAAAAAACTTTGGATTTGACAAATCCATGGGCTGAGTCTTAGAACAGGACACAAGCCACTGGGACAAATAAATACCATTTCAGTGCTCTGACTAGGAAACAGAAATGAGTTTTCAGAAAAATACTCCAGAAAATGACTATCATATTATTTCTTTGATATGATAGTCTTTCCTTGCCATACACACACACATAAACACACAAGTCCACATGCATATATACTCATACACTATTAGGGGACACAAGAACACCTGTAGTTTAATCACTGTGACTTATAAGAATATATGGACATATATGACATAGTATGTATCTAAATAAGTATATTTAACACATAAGTATATACATATCAGTGTACACTAACATACATATGATACCAGTGGTCCCATATTAATATTCCTCTCTATGAATCTGAGCTGGTCAATCTTAAACTAGATTCTTATATATATGCAATTGAAGGCAAAGTACCTGAAACACTATAATCCTGTAGCGCTCTAAGAGGATTACTCTTTCTAAGTATGCATGCTCGATAATACAATGCTATCCAGTTATTAGGATCTAAGTGAATAGCAATAGAAAAGTCTTGAGTTGCTTGTTTAAAAAGTTGCCTTTTAAAATGTGCTTTCCCTCGGTATGTCCTAGAAAAACAGAAAATTTTATTTTAACCTATACAACAGAATATTCATCTTTTTTGTCAAATCTATTCACTAATTTTATATTTCAATATCAATTAGTGTTTGTTTCTCCTTGTTTCTCAAGAGAGCTTAGCCATGATGTTAATAGCAAAAGAAAAATACAAACTTTTTATAAATAAGGTACATTTTATTGTTTACATAATTATATACTTGTTAATTACACGCTTACTAACTTTATTTCATTTCTTACCTTTTCCTTGGTGACAAACTTTTTTGAAACTTTGTAAAAAATTCTTCTCTAGTTATTGAATTATTGTGATTCTCTACTTCTTCTCTAAAGGGGCATTAGTTGAGGGAGGAAATTAAATTGGTTGGAGAAAAAGGAAGTTAATTCAAGGTATTGTAAGATAGTGTTGGGACTCATTTTTTATACTGAAAATCTGGATTCATCTCCTTAGCAACAGGGGGCCACTGAAAGAAAATTTTTGAGACAAAAGGTCTTTATTATGTGATAATCAAATCTAATCACTCCAGATCTAGGAATGAGAATTCTAAGTGTGAACTGATAAAGGATAAAGTATTGAGGCAGTGGAAATGAAAAAGAATAGATATAAAAGTCAGTGTGTTTGAAGAATTAACCTTTCTTAATGGTGTGCTGCAAAGAGAATTTAAAAAGGTTTACACTGTAAGAATTTAAATTAGAATCATATATATGATAAGTAAAATAATTTTTCTTTAGTAATGAATAATAATTTAAAATAAACATAAAAGTTTAATTTATTAAAAAATAAATAAGACATTGCTTAAAGAAGTACAAAAAAATATTTTCATCCAAGAGTAAAGTATCTTAGGTCTCCAGATGCTTCCTGTTCTTAAAAGATATCTATTGGCTACAAGCTATGATATATTCAGAGGTGAATGATTTCTCACTTTTTAAGAACAAAAAAACACCTAATTCAGTTAACATGTTTCTATGAAAAATGGAAGACTTAATTCATGTTGAGACCATGGCTAAATCCTGAAATCAAATTCTGACCAAAAAACTATTTAAAACTCAATGAATTATATTAAAAAATCATTAAATAAAACAAAGAAAATTCACTATAGTTTAATTCCATCTAAAATGATGCCTAAGAGGCATATATCCCTCAAAATCAGTCTATGAATCTAAGCATCTTATAAGTTGATCACAGGAAAAATAAATTTTAAGTAAGAATAAAAGGATACTCTTTGGAATAAAGAATAAAAGATTCAAAATTTACAACTATTACATTCTTGATAAACCCTAAAACCATTTCAAATGATGAAGATCCCTATTATCATTAAAATTATTAAGTTAAATCAATATAATTTTAAAAGAGTTGAGAGATTAGCAAAAAAGATAGAATGCAAAATTGAAAATTCCATTCTTTGATAAAAGTAATGAATAAGCTTCTATAAAAAGACTGTCAGGACCAACATTTTTGGAACTCTGGATTCTAATTTAAAACTTGCAGCAACCAAGCCAATGGTTAACAAAGGGTGGAGGGGGCTGCTAGATTTTGCTAAGAAAGCTCTATGGTGTTCAAACTTAGCTCATTGCCACTCCCCACTTTGCATATCAGTGGAGGCCTTGAGAACAGCCCACATTCCTAGTACAGGTTACAGCTAGGAAAGGGAGCTATATGGACCTCTGCTCCAGGAATAGTGCTTTTGTGTTTTAATTTGTTTAGTAGGTCATGGAAGGATTAGTGCAAGAGCTTGTCTTTGTTTTGTTACCCTCAGAGATTTACCAGGACAGAAATGTCTTCCTGGTTGGTGTTTACCAAAAATGTTTAAAGGCAAGGATGTTAACTGCTGCCACCTAGAGCAAGAGATAACAGTTTGGAAAGGCAATAGAAAAATATGGGCAGGAAGAGCTGAAGAAAGATATGCTTGAGAGATGTTATGATTTAGATCTAAATAATTCCCAAAGTCTCATGTGTTCAGAGGCGGAGCTTTTGGATTGGGTCATGAGGGCACTGTGCTCATCTGTGGATTCATCCATTGATGAGTTCATAGCTGAATGTGCTGTTAGGAGGTGGAGCCTTGTTGGAGGGGGTAGATCACTGGGATTATGACCTAGAAGGGTGTATTCTTATCCCTGGCTCCTCCCTTCTTTCTCTATCTTCCTAGTTGCCATGGGGTGAGCAGCTTTCCTCCACTATGCCTTGCATGTTGTTTCTACCTTGGAGCGAGTTGACCATGGACTGACCCTTCTGAAGTGGGGGAGGCAAAGGCATAAAAGGTTTCCAAAGAGCTGAATGCCTTTTTCTTGACTTGGTAGTGGTTACAGGAGTATTTACATAGTGAAGTCATTAAACTGTAAATTTCTATTTTATGTTTTTCTGAATGTGTGCTTTACTTTACTCTAAGTGTAGTTTACAACTGAAAATTGCAAATGAAGAGATTAGTAATGACTATTCATACATTTCAGATCTCTTCAAAACCTTAGATTAAAAGGAAAACAAGAAAATGAAAGCTACACTGTGCATAATAAGGTTAGGAGAACAAACTATAATATACACATTACGATATACAAAAGAATGTATATGAGCAATTCTCTGTACTTCATATATACAAAGAATATGTATGAAAAATAATTTTAAGGAAGTAAAATATATCAGTGCTTTAGAAATGTATAATTTAACAAATATTTAGAAAATGGAAATGAAATAACTCTTACTTTTCATTTATACCTGTTACATTAAATTACCCTTTACTATTAAGGTGTAGGTAACATTTTCATTTACTGGTGGCATTTGAAAATTGATTCATTGTTTTAAAGGGTTAACAGGTGTATTTCAAGCAATATTCTTTCCTGAAGAATGTTTTAAATATTAATAATAATTTCAAAAAACATTTTGAAATAATTCTTACCATGCTTCAGAATTTTGCTGTTCTATGTTTAACAAAGCTGTAAAATCTTGTATGGCTGAAGTCCAGTTTTCATTTTCATAGTAAAACTTCCCACGTTTCAATAATACATCTGTTCTTTTGGGGTCATAAAAAATACACTACAGAGGAATGGGGAGGTATATAAACATTTCATATTTAAAAAACTAAGAAAAAACTGAGAAAAGTAAGCAAACTCTGATTACATGAAGAAAACTACTGTAAGATGGCAAATTTTTCAGATTTACATTTAAAAACCATACTAAGAAATCCATCCATAACCACATTCTTTAGAGGGAATATTTTCCCAGAGAAAAGAAAAAACAGCTTATACAAGAAACTAAAGTTTTGCCCACTGAAATTTTCAATAAAAGTTCATAATTGAAATGTGACAATAGAGTAAGGTTGTATTGGATTTCTCACAGTATTTTATCGTAATTAAAAGTGAAACATATCACATCAGTGTAGATTCAATCAAATCAAAAATAGATTAATCTAGGAATAGATTAAAATGAGGGAAAGAACTGAATTGGTGGTGGCCTGGTTCATACATTTCATATTGGTACAAAGCAATAGAGTGAACAGACCGGATCATCATATACTCAGTTGTAAAACCCTTCACCTGTTGGTACTGGGAAAGAACACAGTAAGTCACACACCTGTGCACAAAGGCGATAACCAAGCACAAAACAGCTTACCAAGTATCTTTAAACTGAGAAAAAAACAGTGAAGAGTGGGAGGCTTGTTTGACCTCAAGGTGCTAAATTAATCTATTTTTAAACTACTGATGCCAGACAGAGAAAATAAAGAGTCACTTCTAGAGCAGAAGTTACAAAATTTATATTTTCACCAACCAGAAAAATGTCAGTCAATGACTAAGACACATGGGTGAATTAAGAAACAGGGCAGCTGGAAACTAAATTATTTAATTGTTTCTAAATTCCCAATTGTAGTAAGGACTAAGAACTTGGAATTAAAAGTCAGGAGTTCTGCTGGAGTCAGGTGAATATTTTACCCTAATTTAAGATGTGTCATGTACTTATAACAAATACACAGAATGCAAACATTAGACGTTGGAAACAATAACAAAAATAATGAAAAAAGAGAAAGGAGATTTAGAGTCACAGGGAGGGAAGTGGGTGGGGAGGGGAATAAAATAGGGATTTAGATGTATTATGTACGTGTACCTACTCCCTAAGATCAGTGTAAACTTCATGTACTACAAACATGTACTAGTAAAATTGTTTTAAAAGTTCACTTCCTTGATGATACTGCCTGACATCCCCCCAAAAAATAAATATTCTTTGACCAGACCATCCTTCCTTCATAGCACATCATAAACTTCCATTATATATTTATATATGTGTTTCTATCTGTCCTTAAATACCTACCCTTTAAACTATAAGCTCTGCAAAATGTACATTTCATTCACTATTTATTCACTACATTGTTCAGCACCTTAGTTAATACATGTTTCTGAAATTCCATACAATCCAGTTATCCCACTGTTAGATATCTTCCCCAAAGAGCTGAAGTCATCATACTGCAGTGATACAAGCATACCAATGTTTATATCAGCACAATTCATAATAGCTAAATCCTGGAAGCAGCCTGTACACCCATCAACAGACAACTGGATAAAGAAAATGTGGTATTTATAGATAATGAATACTACTCAGTTATAAAGTAAGACACATTTGAGATATCTGTAGGAAAATGGATCCACCTGAAAAATATGTTGAGTGAAATAAAACAGACATACAAGTTTAAATGCCATATGGTATATCTCATTTGAGTGAGGCAAAGTACAAACTAAGAAACTGATAAGGGGTAGATAGAAAGGGGACAGATCTCTTGCAATAGGGAAGCGGTCTAAGGGAACGAGGGCAAGGGGTGAGGAGGAGGAGAAGGTGAAATGTGAGGAATAAAGATATGCCATAAGGAAGATCCCAATAATCCCAATTAATGTCAACACTATATGCCATAACATGAGCTAAGACAAATAATACCAACAAGTACTAAAAAGGGGATAGGGATCCTAAAGAGGAGGTGGGTAGGGGATGGAAGGAGAAGGAAATTTTTAAAAGCTGTAATATGTACATGTAACCAACCACTCTCCAAGATGAGTTCATGTACTAATAAAAAACTGATGGGCCAGGGATTTAGCTCAGTGGTTTCACCACCCGTTGCGCAAGTGCAAGGACCCGAGCTCGATCCCCAGTACCAAAATAAAAACAAACTGATATGTGCATAATAAGTATTTCTAAACTAATAAAAAATAAGAGTGGCATTGTGCTTACCAGAGAAAATAAAAAAACTCAAGGGGAAATGGAAGGAGAGGGTAGAGTAGAGAGGGGAGTGGGAGGGATGAAAAAAGTATTAAGATGCATTATGTATGTGTAATAATTCCCCATGAGGAATGTAATCATTATCATGTACTAATAAAAAATAACCCACCCAAAAAATAAGAAATAAATGTTTCTGAGTGAGTGAATAAATAAGCCTATGTTTGGGAGCAGGTAGGTTCCCTGCAGAAGAGAATAAGCTAGTCAATAGTTAAAAAACGGGGTGTGGCCTCAGAGCAGGCCAGAGGCAGTAGCGCTATGCACAGAAGATGTCTACCACGGATCACACGTGCTGGAGATGAAGGGGTGAACAAAAACTTAACCACGGGAAAGCAACTTGAAGGAGAAGGCCAGCAGAAATCCAGTAATGGGTGTTTAGAAAAAGGAAGGCCACTTTGCAATCCCAGCACTGCTTACAACCCAGATCCAGCCAAGGCCAGGGTGGGAAAAGTTCGAATCTCCCAGGGTTCTGCTGATGGGTGCCTGGGCTCGAGGCCACCACCCACTGCCCATCTGCCCTAACTGTCCTGTCACTGGAAGATAGAGAATAAGGGCCTCTTCAGATCAGGGCATCAGAAAAGCACAAGCCAGAGAATCACTCCAAGAGAGGTGAAGACCAGCAAACTTTAGGGACAGAGAGAAGACAAGGGCATGGTCCTGATTAGGGACCCAGAAAGAGGCACTGTGGGATCTGTCAGACAGTGAGACTCACACAATGACTGTGCTCAGTGAGGTCTAGGAGAGGAGAAAAACAGGGATCAGTGTCGGAGCAGGCACTCTCCACCACCCCCAAACACTGCTGAGGTCTGTACCTCTGTCAGTTCCTGCCTGCTGTCCCCAAAAACGGCTGAAATCCATGCAGAAAAGCTCTCTTCTCCTGAGTCCCTAAGGCCACTGAATCTGCCAGTTGGAAAGACATTCTTTGTGAAGCTAAACTACTGAGATGCAAGATCAGCAGGGGTAGAGAACACAGTCCAGATCAGTGTCTGTTCAGGCTATTTCCTGCTGGGCCCCAAGATAGCTAAATTCCTGGGTCAGACTGAAACTCAGCGAGCAGGAGCACTGCTTTGACCTGGGAGTAAAGGGAGCAGAGAAAAGCCATCAGAATGGCACGCAGGTGTGGGGATACTGCCTCCTGCCTGACCACAAAGGACAGTTACAGTTGCCAGTCAGAGAAAGGCTGAGTGGAAGTGGAGCATAACTGCAAAAGGAGAGTGAGGGAAACTGAAGAGATGAACTGGGCGAAGCAAACAGCATAGCCTGTGGTGGACTCTCCACTGTGAACCTAAGACTGCTGCCAGTAAGAGGAAGGAGCACTTGCAGCCTGCTGCCACTCTGACAACAGAGGCTGCCTCGCATGGCACCTTCTGTATATTCTTTGGTGTGTGTGTGTGTGTGTGTAGCTATGTATATAAATTTTTTACTGTTGCTTGTAAAACATCCTATGTAGTTAAGTAACATATTCTCACTCCAAAAGTTGCTTCTCGGTATCATCCAACTATGCTTGACTATCAGTTCAATAAGTAGATAACAATCCCCCTATATTTTTCTCATGTCCCATCTATAATTTCATCCTTTCCTTTTGTTATTTCCCCCTTACAACTTCTCCTCTCAGTTCTTTCCCATATGTTTTATCTTTTATCTCACTTTTTCTATTCCTCTCTTTTATACATAAACCATGAAGATTAATCTAAAGATGTATCTTAACATATCATGTTAGGTTCTCCTCACCAAGGGTTGTTTCATAGACTTAAAATTGGTGTTGCTGTTATGTCATTAATTGGACTCAATCTTCCTGTATCCTCTGTCTTTTTTTTTTTTTTTTGTACTGGGGATCAAACTCGGAACTCGGGACCTTGTGCTTACGAGGCAGGAGGCTGAACCACTGAGCTAGATCCCCGGCCCGCCCCGTATTCCCTTTCACCACCCACTATAGTCCATACCACACTTTCTTTCCTCACTTCCCTTCTCACACACTCACAAGTCTCTCCATCCTCCCTCTTTTTGCTTGTACATAGAAACTATTATTAAACCCTAATTTTTCCCCTTTTTTTTCTATTTCAGAGTGTGTGTAAGGGTCATATGTTTGTGACCAACTGCACATGAGTGTTATCATTTTCGTTTCTACAGTGTCTTACATTGACTTGTCAGGTTGTCCGTCCTCAAAGGTCATTGCTTAGGTCTTCTAACATATGATTTTTACTCGTTTATAAATTGGATACAATATCCACAAAGAGCTCTCAGATGATTCGAAAAGAACAAACCTAAGAATTATAGATATGAAGAAAGGGCCAGAGAAAGCAACTAAATGTATAAAAAATGTATTCACCAAAATCATTCCAGAAAAAATTCCAAATCTAGAGATGAAAATGGATATCTGGGTAAACAAAGCATTTAGAACACTACATAGACACAACCAAAAGAGAAACTCTCCATGAAACATCAGAATCAAAATCCCAGAACTTCAGAACAAGAAAGGAATATTAAAAGCTACTAAAGAAATTAACACCAAATAACTTATAAACATAAGCCTATAAGAACAACAGCAGATTTCTCAAAGCAAACCTTAAAGGCCAGGCAGTGAAGTCTTACAAGTCCTAAAGAAAAATAATTGCCAACTCAGATTACTGTATCTTACAAAATTATTCTTCAAAATCAATAGAAAAATAAAAACCTCCCAAGACAAAGAGAATCTAAAGAAATTCATGACCAACAAATCTGAATGGTAGAGAATATTTGAGGCAATTCTAAATAGAAACAGAAAGAGCAATATCACCAAAGAGCCCAAAGGAAAGACTATACCTCATGGAATGAGTGCTTAAAAGAAAAAATAGAAATGTCATCCCTGAAAATATAATACAATGACAATTATATTGAAATGTAATTTTAAATAATAATACTTTATATAAATGCTCCTAACTCCATGATAAAAGGCAGATAGGTACATTACATAAAAAAATAAAAACAGCTACATGTTGCCTGCAAGAGACATACTTCATTCACTAAAGGAAAAAAAGGACTGAAAATGAAAGGATGGAAAACAATACTACATATAACTAGAGCCCGAAAGCAATAAAAGGTAGCTTTCCTAATTTCATACTAAATACACAAGCCAAAACTAATCAGAAGAGACAAAGAAGGTTACCATATGTTAGTAAAAGGAACAATATAACAAGAAATTGTGAATCTATATGCACCAAAAGGAGGTGCAGCCAATTTCATAAAACAAAAACTAATTGACATAAAAGGACAGAGAGACACTAATACAATCATAGGGGGGCACTTGAATAACCCACCCTCACAAATAGCTAAACCACATAACTCCTTAACAAAGAAATATCACAGTTGAATCAAATCACTGAGCAAATGAACGTAAGAGATGTCTACAGAATGTGTCATTCAACAACAGCAAACTATGCACTCTTCTCAGCAGATCATAGAATTTTTCCCAAGATAGACCATATCTTAGGACATAAGCATATTTAAATAAATTCAAAAGAATTTAAATAATATCTTGCAACCTATCAGATCACAACAGAATGAAAATAGAAATCAAGAGCAAAAGAATCCACAGAATATACAAACACATGGAGATTAAATAATAATTACTGAATAAACAGTGGGTCACAGAAGAAATCAAGGAAAAAATTCAAAAAGTTCCTAGAAACAAATGACAGTGACAGTACAACATATCAAAACCTGCAGGACATAAAAAATGCAGTTCTATGAGAAAAGTTTATAGCTGTGCATGCCTACATTAGAAAAACAGGGCAATCCCAAATAAATAACCTAATGATGGACCTCAAAGCTCTATAAAAACAAGAGCAATCCAAGTCTGAAATTTGTAGAAGGAAAGGAATTATAAAGATCAAAGGAGAAAACAATGAAATTGAGATAAACAAACAATACAAATGATTAACAAATCAAAGAGCTGGTTCTTTGAAAGGATAAATAACATTGATAAATCCTTAGCTAAACTTATGAAAAGGAAAGAGAAGAACAATATCAGTGCAATTGGAAATGAAAAAGGCATAATCAAAATGGATACCACTTAAATCTAAAGGATTATAATAAGCAATTTTTAAAACATTCCAAAAATTGGAGAATATAGAAGAAATGGGTAGATTCCAAGACATATATGTCTTATGAAAATTGAACCAAGAAGACATAAAAACCCTGAATATACAAATAATAACCAATAAAATTGATGCTGTAATAAATACTCTGCCAATTAATAAAAGCCCAGGACCTGAAGGATTCACTGTTGAACTTTACCAGAACTTTGGAGAATAATTAATACCAATATTTCTCAAACTGTCTCATGAGAGAGAGTGTAATTCATTCATTAAAGCCAGAGTTATCCTGATACCAAAACTGGACAAGGGTTCAGGAAAAAAAATACAGGCAAGTATTCTTAATGAATATTCATGCAAAAATCCTCCAGAAGATACCTCCAAACAGAATGCAACAACTCATTAAAAGATCACAAATCATGACCAAGTCAGGTTTGTCCTATGGATGGTTCACAATATATAAATCAATTAAGTGTAGTACACACCCCATAGGTGGAAGTAGGATAAAACTCACAGGATTATCTCAATAGATCAGAAAAAGCCTCTGAGAAAATCCAACACCCATTCATGATAAAAAAAAAAAAAAAAAAAACCTGACAAAAATGGGATAGAAGGACCTTACCTCAAACTGACAAAGGCCATTATGACAAAGCCACAGCCAACATCATTCTATATGGGGAAAAGCTAAAATAATTCTCAATAAAATCAGGAAAAAGACAAGCATGTCCACTATCACCACTCACCACTTCTGTTCAATATAGTACTGGAAACTTTAGCCACAGCAGTCAGATAAGAGAAAGAAACAAAAGGGGTGTGAATAGGAAAGGAATAAGATAAAGGAGTATCTTCTTAAAATTCCACCAGAAGATTCTTAGAGGTAATAAACAAACTCAAGAGTATGGAAGGATATAAAATCATACACACAAAGCAAGAGTGTTACTGTACAACAATAAAGAAGCTACTGAGAAAGAAAACCATTCCATTCACAATAATTTCAAAAAAGTTAAATACCTAGAAATCAATCTAACCAAGAAATAAAAGACTTCTTAATGAAAACTATATTACTCTGGAGTACAACATTTGAGAGAATATTAGAAAGTGAAAAGGTGAACCCTGTCCTGGATAGACAGAAACAATATTGTCAAAATGGCCATATTACAAAAAAAGTTATACAGGTATAATGGAATTCCAATTAAAATGCCAACAGCATTCTTCATTGAACTAGAAAAAAAAATCCTAAAATTTATGTAGAACCAGAAGAGACCAGAATAGCCAAAGCATTCCTAAGCAAAAAGAGCAAAGCAAGAGGGATTATAAACCTGGATTTCAAGTTATACTACAATGTTACAATAATAAAAACAGCCTTGTACTGGTAGAAAAATAGACATGGAGTAGAAGATACAGAAACAACCCATACACCTTTGGCCATCTGATATTTGACAAAGTGCTTAAGAAAAAAAAAGCATTGGGAGAAAAGTCAGCCTCTTTAATAAAGGTGCTGGGAAAACTGGTTATCCACGTGCAGATGAATGAATCTAGACCCATATCTCTCACTGTGTACTAAAATCAAATCAAAATGTATCAAATACCTAGATATAAATACAGAAACACTGAATCTGCTGGAAGATAAAATAAATAAAATACTTAAAGATGTGGGCAAAGGCAAGGACTTCCCAAACAGAAGAACCCCTACGTGCATAAGACATAATACCAAGAATTAACATATGAAAATATATCAAATTAAAAAGTTTCCAGGGGCAGGGGATTTAGCTCAGTGGTGCCACCGCCTGCCTCACAAGCACAAGGTCCTGAGTTCCATCCCCAGTACCAAAAAAAAAAGCTTCTGCACAGCAAAGGATATAATCAACAAAGCAAAGAAACAACTTACAGGATGGGAAAAAAAGTATTTGCCAGCTACTACTTTGGTAGAGGACTAAAATCTAGAATATATAAAGAACTAAAAAAATCAAGACTCAAAAACCAAATGATCCAATCAAAAATGGTCAACTGAAATATATAAACACTTCTCATAAGCAGAAATAGCCAATAAGTTCAACTTCTTTGGTTAATAAAAAAATGCAAATCAAAACAATACTAAGATTCCATTTTACTTCATTAAGACTCAAAATGCCAAAGATGTAGCAGAACAATTCTTCTAAATTGTTAGTGGGAATGTAAACTAGTAAAACCACTATGAAAATCAGTATTAAATCAGTATCTACCAAAATGGAATTTCATTTGGCCCAGCTATCCTTCTCCCCTTCCTGAAAAGAAAGGCGTAAAGTCATCATATCACAGTGATACATATATACACATGCTTATAGCAGTGCAATTCACTATAGCTAAATTATGGAAACAGCTTAGATACCAATCAGCAGATGAATGGTTAAAGGAAATGTGTGTGTGTGTGTGTGTGTGCATCAGCCATAAAGGAGTCATTTGCTATAAGATGAATGGACTTTGAGACCATAATTTTTAAGTGAATTAAATCTTACATGAGAAACCCAGAAATAGAAATAGAAATAATTGAAAGACCAAAATAAAGGAGAGATGGTAAGATACAGGCAGGTAGATTTTTGTTTTTTTGTAAATAGTAAAAAGAGATCTGGAGAAAGGAGAAGAGGGGAGGGTAGAAAGAAGACCAAAAATAATCAAGATAATATATATATATATGATAATTTCCCAAATTGAATGTATATATACCCAAATTTATACTAATAAAAAAAGAAAGAGTTAAAAAGTAGAAAACAACTTTATTGTCTGAAGTGAAAAGCAATTTTCAAAGGTTTTTTTATTCCTTATTTCTTTGGACATCAAGGGGTAATGAATGAACAATGCCACAACCAGTTCATTTCTTTCCTTCATCTTAGGGAATAATCTATATTTTATTTGATTGATTGAATCCTCATTGATGTAATCTAATATGTTTCATCTTTAATTCAGATAAAATGCTGTGAGGGATGCTCCATTCTAGTTGTACAATTCTGGAAAAGTCAGGCCCCTCTCTGGGTTGTCTCAGTGCCCCACATTGAACTCTTTCATATAATTTATTCATTCACCAAAAAATTTTCAAAATTCATTGAAGTAGTGCTAATATCAGTATCAATAATAAAAGCTCTATGTTCTATCCTCCAACGAATTTATTTTGATCACATAAATTAGATTAAGAGACTTTCTTAAGAACTTGCTATGTACTATTAGCATAAGAATATTGCGGTCTAAAATAGCAACATTATATATGATAAAGCTTACTTTAGAAAAGTCATCAATGGCCAGTACTCTGTTCTCTTTTTCATAAACTTCACCTCTCCTGAAATAGATATCAGCATCTGTGGGCCTGCACTTAATTGCCTGGGTATAGTTTAGAATTGTCAAAATAATGTTGTTGTTTTTCCTGTAAATTTCAGCCTTAGACAAATACACATCTAGTAAAAAAAATTTAAAAGATAAAATGTAGTGTTAAAATCACTTTAACTATTTTTTTAAATTAATTCCTTTCCCTCCAAAAATAGTCTCAAACAACTGTCATTTAATTTTTTAAAAATTTCAATAATGCCATATTTGTTCTTATGTACTCTTTTGTGACTAAAAGTACTCTCAATTTGAAATGCCAAAAATTACCTTTTCACCTATCTGTTTGTCTAAAATGTTTGATTATCTTTTAGTGATAATAGTAAAAAGATTTTAATGGCACAAATTTTCATGGAATTTTAGTAGACAGATCAGTATTGGTCAAAACATTTATTAAGCTCCTATTATATCTGTAGGTATGCGGTGGGTGTTGGGCTACAAAGATGAGTATAATATTTTCATGTTCCTATGAGTTCCATGTCAAGTGGTTTGACTTGATTAGAGGATTTTACATACGGGAAGGTTATATAGATTTAATCCAAGCAAGAAGTCCCAGACAACTCTCATTCTAAGATCTGTAGTCAAAAAAGATTTGTAAATCTTCTAAAATTGTAAAAATTCTAAAACTACAATTTTAAGCTCATATTCTTGTGAGATGAGCATGATGGTTTATTTGCTGTCATATAATGAACATTTTAACCCAGGACAAGTATTTTGAAAATGATACGGGATTGTCTGAAGCCTGCATTGACAATACTAGGAATAAACAATTTAACTGGGGAAATTCATAAACATTTTTACATAACATATCTATTGATTTATTATCTTTATTATAACAATAAATGACAAAAATTGAGACTAAAAATACAGGTAATATAACTGTCTCCCCAGACAACCCACCTGCATTGTTTTTATTATATTTACTTATATAATTCAAGTCATTCAAAGCCTCATTAATTTTGTCTTGAAAAAGATAAATGAAATGCCGGTGCCAAAAGGCATTGAGAAACAATGGCTCCAAGCGAATAGCCTAGAAAATATATATTTAAATTCAATAAAAGTTGATTTGCCAAAGGAAAAGATCTTATTAAATAAATTTTTCAAACACTATTGATCCCAATGGTTTTGCATATGTATAACACCTCCCAAACTCATGAGGAAAAAATTCTAGTGTTTTAATAGTAATTATTTGACAATGTCAATAATTGTATTTCAAAAATCCCATATATTATAGTACAATAATTCATTATTCAAAATTCCAGTTAAAATACTATATAATTAAAAGCAATGTAAATAGTGAATAATGGCCTTTTTTATAAAACTTACTTCCTATAGATCATTCATGGCACTCTGTAACTTGCCCATTTTCCTAAAAATTGCTCCACGTCTACAATATGCAAATACAGGCAATGTTTTCTTCTCATTAATTTCTTCAGTCAAGATTTCCACTTCAGATTCATAATGTTTTATGGCCTCTGGTGGGAGATGACATTCCAAATAATCGTTTAATTGTACTTTTGGTGGTTCTTCTGTGCTTTCAAGGGGGTCTCTTTTTTCAGTTATTTTAACAACCTTTGTAGTTGTTTTCTGAAGTTTATCTTTAAAGAGTGTATCACAAACCCATATGTGAGGGTCACTATGTTCTAGCATTCCTCCTTTCCTTTTGACAAATTTATCAAACTCTAGACCCATAGGTAAGCTGGGACTCCGTGTTAGACATTCATATAATGGAACTTTGAGGAAATATTTCTTCTATCCAGGAAGTATTTCATGAGATTGTGACCTAGTTTTAAAAGGAATGATCTTTTAAATTACAGAAACATTATCCTTCTGCTCAATAAATCAACTCAGTCACACACACGTAATTACTAGTTTTCTCTTATCCAAATGAAATTACATGCTAATTTCATGTAACCCAAACCTACTTTTTCATTCATTAAAATTATAACACAGTATAAAGAATCTCTGTCAAGTTTATAAAAGCAAAATTGACTGTTTCTAAAGAAGTAGCCTTCCAGAATACTGAAATAGTGGGACAGTTCCTTCAGGTTTAATTCACACACTCTATTCTCAACCTCTACCAGCAGAATTATGATAGGGAATTTAAAAAGTAAATATGATGTGAGGAAGGAAATACCACCTGAGAGGATATAGAAGACATGAACTTAAAGAGGTAGGAATAGCTGGGTGTGATGGGGGCTTGTAAAGCCAGCACTCGGGAGGCAGAGGCAGGAGGATCACCAAGAGTTTGAGGCCAACCTGGGCTACATAGAGAGCTCAAAGCCAGCCTGAGCTACATACCAAAACCCTGTAAGAAAACAAACAAACAAGAAAAGAAAGTAGCAATAATGAAGCAGCTGATACAAAGCAGACTACTGAGTAGACATCCCAGACCTCACCCTTCCCCAGTGAACTATCAAATTAGATAATACTGAATATGCTTTCAAACGTTGCAAATTATGATTCTCCTCCTAAAATTCTTCATTGGCAGCACAACTTTCATTTTATTAACATGTATGATATGTCTGGTACTACACTATCCATTAGAGACAGGATAAACACAACGTATTGGAAGGACAAAACATTTTCAAAACTATCATTTTGTATTTATTGAATATACACTATAAGAAAGACTTACAGCTAAACACTAGTAAAATAAGGTAAGAAAAGTCAGTTTTCTTCCCTTTCATTACTTTCTTATACTCTCCACTCCTCTTCACATTTTAGTGCAAGCCATTATCATCTATTCTGCATGGAGTACAATAACTTCTCATTTCCCTGCTTCTACCCTTGACCATTGCATAATCTGCCCTCCATATGGCATTCAATAGGTGTTTTAGAATTAAAAAATTGTGTTACAGTCTCCAAAAGTTTCTCCTAGTACTTGGAAAGCAAATCAAGCTTTTCACAGAGCCTGCAGAATTCCACATGATGAAGGCCCCAACATGGATATCTGATACCATTACTCTCCCCCTCATTCCCCATTCTTCAGGCACAACTTCCAGAACAAGCCTCATGAGCATTGCATTCTCTAGCCCTTCTGACTGGCTTCCTCCTAAATTCATATTCCTGACCAAATGTCATCTCATAAAGAACTTTTTTGTGTAGTGTTTTGTTTGCGCCTCTACATTTATCGCCACCCTTTTCAATCTTGATCTCTGCCTTGAAAAACTAATCTGTACAGGCTATATACATAAATTCCCTTGTCTTGTTTTCTCATTCATTGTGTCCAATTAGGAATTCCAATAAAGGGAAAGAGGAAAATCAAGTCACAACGTCTATTCTTCTGACTCCTTCATGAAGGATCATGTCAAACTGACTGTGAGCCTTAACCAAAGATCACTACTTCCTTCAAGGAAAACTTTTCTATGCAACACTTTTCTTTCTGTGCTCTCTGAAGGGTAGTAAATGGCTTACTATTTCCAGCCACAGGATACTGCATTATCATCATTTGTGCTTTCCTTATATCCTCAACTTTGTAAATTGCTCCGAATCATACTATCCCAGAATATCCTAAGCTGAGAGTGCCACTTACTTCTGGGGCCAGACTGTTATGGTAACTGGTACTAAAGAGGATTCAAGAAAGACACACATAAAGGATTCTAGAATAACCTCCTCAGCAGGGTAAAATTAGACACAGGTACAGTTCATGGTACGTGGTAATATCCAAACTTCTCAAGTTATGAAAAGTACTAGCAAGAAATGATGTTTAGACAAAAGGCAATCTACTGGGAAATTCAAGTAGCAATCACTTAGTGGGAGAACAATAATGATTACAAACAATGTTCAATCATTGACTACTTCTTTCCGACCAAAAGAATAGTTGCAGTACCTGTTAAATATCCAATCTTGTGCACCGAGGAAATGATGCTATTAGAGAAGGAATAGAAGCCGAAATATAAGGTATGAACATGCAGGCAGACAGGTGAAAATTCTAGACCTTGACTCTCTCTACTTCCCAGCCACCAGGCAATAAATGTGCTTTTCTTCCCTGTCCCTCTGCCATTCTGTCCTGCCTTGGAGCCAGCCAACAACAGCCTGAGCCAAAACAAACTTTTCCTCCTTTAAATTGTGAGTGTTGCATATTATGTTCCAGTGACAAAGTGTAAGACATAATCCCAAAGGGAATAATAAAATTCTGGGATGGAAATTCCAGCTAAAGTCACTTTGCCACATGGAAGACACAAATACAACAAACCACAGAGACAGAAAGATAATAACAGTATTTTAACTTGCCTAAGGGTCTGTGGTAATAACTAAATCACTACAAGCCCTCAGAGATTAGATAGGCAGCCTGCTAAGGTGTTCTTTAACTTACATAGGTGAGAAACTTCTAAGTCTTCTAGGTGTAAACCTAACCAGTATAGTGAGGGTTCACACCTCTTACTCAGCTGTCACACCTAAGTGAGTTTGCAGTCCAAAACCTCTCACTTGAGAGGAAAGCCAGGCCAAGTTCCACTGAGAAAAAGATACTGCTATGTGGTTCAGGTGTTTATAGTGAAATTCCCTTCAGAAGTTTCCAAAAGTATGAGAAAGGAAAAACAAATCTCCGCAGTCTTTAGACACTGCCTCTAAACTTATGCAAAGTCACCAAAATCCACTTTGAATGCCACCAAAGTCAATCAGTCAAATTAGGGAATTATGAAAGTCAAATGCTAGAAAAAGTCTTGGCCTGAAATTATCTAATAGTGGATCCAATGTGACTGGGGAAATTATACTCTAATTGGACAGGAGTTCACCCTTGACATTGTGCAGGATTGTGTTAGGCAGCACAGTTAAGACACAAATTGTTGCCCCTGCTGTGTAAATGTAAACTTCATTTTATTTCCTAAATTACAGGAATGGAAAAGAAAGCATGTCAGGTCAACAACACCTGCAAACCAGGCAGATGTGTTAAAATATATTCCCTCATAAACATTCAAAAATATCTTCACTGTGACTTAATGCTAGCACTACTGTATTTTTCTAAAATTTTCACAATAAGTATGTATTATTTTTATACCAAATAAATATAATATTTTAAGGAAACAACAAGAACTTGACTACTTTCTAAAATAACGTGAAGAGCAAATGCAAACAGTCAATGAACTTTTATAAGAAAGTTAGTCCCATATCACTGAAATTAAAGTCCAAATCTTTCTAAATGATCAGAAAAGAGGACTTGCTATTTACTTCCACACCAAAAGGAAAATATTTCTTCATGTATTGCAAGTCTAGATCAATGTTTTCATAGCCATGAGTACAGTTCATGGTTTCTCGTTTGGAGAAACTGAATTAAGTTAACATCCTACTTTATCTGCCAGTATGAGAAAGCTAGGCTCTCAAGTTGAAAGATATGTACACATAATTAGCCGGAGATGAGCTGTGAGACTATTTGAGGAAACAGAGAAATTTTACACAGTTTAAATGTTTTCCTCAGAATGTGCAGTTTGTGTAAGAATAAGGTCAGTTTTACTACCAGAATCATCGAATCTTTGAGCTGGAAGTTATTACAGAAATCATCTCAATAAGTTCTTTATCTTCCAAATGGGAAAGCAAATAGCAAAAGAAATTAAGTAGTTTGGCCTGGCCACCAAAGACCTAATTGAATAGGGGTTTAAATAGAGATAGTCTGGTCCCTGGTTCATATTCCTTGTTGCTGGAACATAACTGCCCCTAGCTCTTACAGAAGCACAGAAATAAATAAAAGCCAAAATACGCCAGATGAGAGCTCCTAGTGAAAGACTAAAAACAACTAAGGAAAATATATGCTCTGCTTGAAGGTAGGGAGAGTGGGTAAATTCTGCCACTCTTGGGGATGTTGCAACAAAATGATGGGCTCAGAAACCAGGACTAAGACCACAGGGGACTAAAGGGAAATGCATGAGTCTGGCTCTTTAATCAGCTAAAATGGCCTTCTGCAGGAATTACTCTCCACAATCAATATTTGACTTGATATATGAGAGCATGTGTAGTGTGTAGCTCACTTCTAACCAAAGGCGAACAAACCAAGAATGCTTGTGATTCAGTAAGCTTAAAGGTTGTACACAAAAGGGTAAGAAGGATATTTCTGAGTTACCAAGTTAAGATTAGTTAAAAATACATTTTGATCCTCATTAATACTTTCAGTTTCTCACATGAGAGACATAATTCGGTGTTTTCACGTGTGTCCTATTTATTTCACTTAAGAGTATGGCCTCGATATGCATCCATTTAGCTATACATGTCTCTAATTTATCATTATTTATGGCTAAGTAGTACTCCAAATTCCCAGCGATCAATCTGATCATAATGTATACTTAAAATGTACCAATAAAGTTAATTTTAAGTTTTAATTTTAAAAATATATCAACTATATAAATAAAATTATTTTAAAAGTTACTCCACAAATTTGATCTGAATAGAAAATTTTGTGGTAAGCTAATACAAATTAAAATGTTTGTTGTGTTGTTTTGCTTTAATTTTTATTTTTTATTAGTACATGTTTGCAGTACACAATGATTACATTCATCATGGGAACTTGAAAATGTACATAACACATATAAATTCTTTTTGCATCCCCTTTCCCTCTCTTCCCATCTTCCTCCCTCTATCTCTTGATCCCCTTCCCATTTGAAAAAGATTGGTCTCCCTATGTCCTACTGTCTGTCTTTTATTTTGCTCCTTATTCATATTTTAAGTTTCTCATATAAGAGAACACCATGTGATATTTAAGCTTCTGTGTCTAGTTTATTTCACTTAACATTATGGTCTCAAGGTGCATCCAATTTCCTATTAAAAACTCAAGTTTATCTTTTTTAAGGCAGAGCAGTACTCTATTTTGTATAAATAACATATTTGCTTTATCCATTCATCTGCTGATGAACATATAGGTTACTTGTAAGCTTCAGCTATTATGAGTTGTGCTACTGTAAACATGAGTATGCATGTATCACTGTAATGTGATGTCTTCTCTTTGGGGGAGATACCTAGGAGGGCAATAGTTGGGTCAAGTAAAATTTCTATTTTTATTTTTTTGAAGAATCACTATACTGATTTCCATACTGCTGTATAGTTTACATTCTCACCAACACAGGAAGAAGGGTTCCATTTTCCCCATAGACTCACCACCATTTGTTTTTCTTTCTTCTTCCCTCCTTCCTTCCTCCCTTCCTTTCTTCAGAGACAGAACTCACTATGTATATGAAAACATATACTTGAACTTATTATGTAGCCCAGTCTAGCCCTGAACTCATCAGGATCCTTCTGGCTCAGCCTCCTGAGTGCTGAGATTGCAGGATTGTGCCAGCATGCCCAGCAATTATCTGATTTCTTGATGACAGCCATTCTTTCTGGAGCAGGATAGAATCTTGGTGCATTTGTATCCTAATTTGCACTTCTCTAATGACCAGTTATGTTGCACATATTTTCATGTATTTATTGGCCATTTGTACTTCTTACACTGATAAGTGTCTATTCATTTTAGTGGCCTATTTTTTATTGGGTCTTTTATTTTAAGAGGCCTAATTTTTTTAAATTCTTTACATAGTTTAGCTGCTGTTCATATCAGAAAAACAGAATGAGTGCAAATAAATAATCTAATGAGCTCACAGAAAAATAAGAACAATCCAAAGCTAGTACAAAAGGGAAATTATAAAGATCAGAACAGAAATAAATGAAATTGAGACTAAGAAAACAATACAAAGAATCAATGAATTGAAGAGTAGGTTCTTCAAAAGAATAAAATGGACAAACTCTTAGTCAATCTTACCCCCCAAAAAGGTAAAGAAAAAAACCCATATCAATGTAATTAGAAATAAAAAAGTGAAACTACAAAGAACATCATTAAATCCAGATGATTTCTAGTAACTACATCAAAAACCTGTATTTCAATAAATTTGAAAACCCAGAAGAAATGGATAGATTCCTAGATATGTATGAATTACCAAAACTAAACCAAGTAGATATAAAACCCTTGAATAGTCCAGTAACAGGAAATGAAATTGAGGAAGTAATTTTTAAAACTTACCAACTAAGAAAAGCTCAGAACCTAATTGACTCACCACTGAATTCTACAAGAATTTCAGGGAATATCTAATGCCAATCCTCTTCAAATGCCTTAATAAAATTAAAAGGTTAAAAAGTACTACCAAATTTATTCCTGGAAGCTAGCATTACCATGTTTGCAAAACCAGACAAAGACTCAACTAAAACAAGAAAGGCCAATCTCAATAATGAATATTGATGCAAATATCCTTAACAAGATATTGGCAAAGAGAATGCAACAAATCATTTTAAAAAATCACACATCATGACCAATCATGACCAAACAGGCTTCATGCCAGGGATGCAAAGATAGTTCAATATATGCAAATCAAACTCGAGTCCTTGCCCTTGTGGGGCAGGCGACAGAACCACTGAGCTAAATCCCTGGCCAACATATACAAATCAATAAATGTAATGAATCACATAAACAGAAGCAAGGACAAATATCACATGATCGTCTGAACAGATGAAAAAAATCTTTGACAAAATCCAACATCTATTCTTTTTTTTTTTTTTTTTGCTACCGGAGATTGAACTCAAGACCTTGAGCTTGTGAGGTAGGCAGAGACACCACTGAGCTAAATCCCCAGCCCTTAACATCTATGCTTGATTTAAAAAAAAAACAAACTGAAGAAAATAAGTCTAGAGGGACCTATCTCAATCTGATTAAAAAAAAAATTTGTGACAAATCTACTATAAACATCATATTAAATGGGGAAAAACTAAAAGCTTTATATCTAAAATCAGAAACAAGACAAGGATGTACACAAACACCATTCCTATTCAATACAGTACTTGAAATTTTAACCAGAGCAATCAGACAAGAGAAAGAAATAAAAGAGATATATATAAGAAAGGAAGAAGTCAAATTACCCTTATTCTCAAACAACATAAACCTTTATACAAGAAATGTTTTAAAATCCACCAAAAGACTCCAAGAGCTAATAAACAAATTTAGCAATGTAGCAGGATACAAAATCAACACACAAAAATCAGTAGTATTCTGCATGACAATAATGAAACCAGTAAGAAAGAAATAAGCAAAATAGTATCATTCACAATAGCCTGAAGAAAAATTAAATACTTAAGAATTAACCCAACAAAGAAAGTGAAAGACCTTTATAATGAAAACTTCAGTATTGTGAAAAAAGAGGATATCAGAAAATGGAAAGATATCCCCTGTTCCTAGATAAACAGAAACAATACTGTCCAAATGGTCATAGTTCCAAAAGTGTTATATAAATTTAATGAAATCCCAATAAAAATGCCAACAGCATTCCTCACAGAACTAGAGAAAGCAATCTTAAGATTTATATGGAACCAGAAAAGACCTAGACTAGCAAAACAAATTCTAGGCAACAAGAGCAAATTCCAGATTTCAAGTTATATTGCAAAGCTACAGTGATAAAAGCAGCATGGTACAGACACAAAACCAGACATGTGGATCAATGAAACAGAATAGAGGATACAGAAACAACCCTAGGCACATTTAGCTGTTTGATCTTTGACAAGAGGACTAAAAACATACCGGAGGAAAGATAGCCTCTTTAATTAATGCTGTTGGAAAAACTGGCTATTCACATGCAGAAGATTGAATCTAGATCCATATCTTTCATCATATACTAGTATAAAATAAAAATGGATCCAAAAACTAACGTTTAAACAGAAACAGTGAACTTGCTGGAAGTCATAACACACTCTTGAGCTCATAACACAGGCAAGGACTTTCTGAACAGAACCCTAGTTGCACAAGAAATAGAATCAAAAATCAACAAATGGGATTGTATCAAATTTTTAAAGCTTATCCACAGCAAAGGAAACAAACAACAAAGTGAAGTGACAATCTCCAGAACAGGAAAAAAATTTCAACAAATACTTTTCAGAGGATTAAATTTTTAAAAATTTTTTAAAGAAAATAAGAAAGCTCCACTAATGAATGTATTGTCTTGAATAAATATCACCACAATTGTTTTACTTCTTCCACCAAAAGACTTATCCTATGATTCCCATGAAGCCTGTTGGCAGCATATACAAATATTAAATTGTTATGAAAAGGCAAATAAATCTCTTAAAATGGTAAAACATTAGACTTAAAATGTTGTACTATGGGCAGTACAACATTTCAACAGAAGCAGTGTTTCATGTGCCATTATATTTAGATGGAAGTCACTTAGGTCATAGCGGAAATGGCACTGTATCCTTTATCAGGATGGAGAAAGTTCGTAATACTTTGACATCAATAAAAAATCAAAAATATGTAAAGAAACTTCTGGTTCTGATCTAAAACATTTGTCAATTTAGAAAACCCTGCCCCAAACCTGCTAAGAATGTGTCCACAAACAAAGTTTCTAGATACCACTTTTACTGCAGGGAAAACTTAAGCCCACATAGTATATGAAGAACTTGGGACTTGTGAGACATTTCTACTCCCACTGGGTTGAGCTCCACTCTGTCCTTCACACTTATGAAGTATTATTCCCCAGTCTTCTCAGACAGATTAAGTCATCAACCACAACAGAACATAAAGAACCCTTCTGCAGAGCCAGCTAACTCTTTATAACAATAAAATGAACCAAACATTTTTTATTCTCTTATCACCAGGAAAGTCATTACTTCTCAAAAAGATGTAAGTTTAATAAACTCTATCCATCTGGAGATATCTAAAGAGAAATAAATGCCAGAGCTATTTTGGAAACTATTTGTATTATAAATACTCTCGTTATGAGAAAGTTACATTCTAAACATTGAAACTTGAACATACGTGGAATTTCAGTTATTATTTTAGGTCTCTCCATATTTTTAAATATTCAAACTGCTATTACCTCCAAGTAAGGAGAAAATTATTTTTGTAGGTTTATCCCTGAAGAAGGGGTAACAGCATACAAAAAAACTTGTCTATATTCTTTACTCAATTCAATAAAAATTTATAATTTGAAAATGGGTAAATTCCAGCAATCTATTTTGATTTTTGAACAGGTGATACTTGTTTGGAGCAAGGGTTGGTTTTTGTACTAAACCACTTTAACAAATAAGCTGTTAGATTTTTTGCTTTACACTGAGAGACTTCATTCATCCATCAAATTGTTGAGTCTTTACGTCTTTAAATAATACCCCACTTTATAGTCTGAACCATCTACATATATATACTACGAAACATCCACATATTTTTTAAATGAAGGGTTGATCCTTTAGTTCGGCAGATGTTCAGTGATGAAAAAAACAGATGAAGTTCACCAGGTAAAATTAAAAATTAAGGCCAAAACTACAATATATTTCTTAAACTATAAAAATAAAACACTGTTTGAACAGACCTTGTAAGCAAGTTTGGAGGTTTAGATAACTCTTTACACACAATTGTAAGTTTTTCAAATTTCAGTCCTTTCTTCCATTTCATCTTCTTTTTCTTGGGATAAACAATGTAACTAATGCCTGCTTGTTTTGATACTTCAATAAGAGAGTGAGACAGATCTTTTGAACTGTGTTCTTCCTGAATGGTGTCTAAGATGGTATCTATATTTTCTTTCACAGAGGTGAGAGGCTCCTTGGTTTTATTTTCCTTAGCAAGCTGGTGCTCCAACTCCTTTGCTTTCTGGAACATCATTGCTTTCATGTTGCTTTGCATGTCATCCTTAATTTCTATTGGTTCGATGTCCTCCTCCTTCCTCAATTCGACTGCGGATTTTGCTCTCTTCATAGGGAAAAACAGGTTAATAAATATATAATAAATTAGTTGCTGTACTTTTAAAATTAATTCAGTTACAGTTACTATTAATGTAGTTTGGATGTTTTATTAAAATTTTCTTAAATCCTATATTCTTAAAATTACTGAAAAGTCAAATTATAAAGTTAATGGTAGCTTAGTTAAATCATGCATAGTAATCTGGTCATGTGATTGTTCATTAGCTACGTATACACAGTACAAAACAGATACATATTATGATTTTATATATTTTTATTAAGAGAATGACCCCTACACATCCAAATAAAGTAGATGCACTACTTTTACTTGTAATGCAAAAACTCTGTAGAATGAGTAAAACCTATTATAATATAATGTTCTATTAAATCAGTTTGAGTCTATTTTCGAAAGCACTTTAACATTAAATTTCTATACAAAATTATTTACATATGCTCTACAACTTTCAATTCAATATTTAGAAGCTAAAGGAACAGTAAGTAACAGAATCCT